GTAGACCTTGAGGATAAGTTGAGGTAGAACTTGAGGGTAAGTTGAGGAAGAATCAGGAAATAATCCCCGGGCTCCCCCTATTTCCTGATGATATCACGGACTCGGAAAATGACCATTGTCGTTTTCATACGCCATCCAACGCTCCAAGTGGATATTGAATCTTCCGATAGAGAGTTTCCCCTAGTTAAAATTTTAGAGAAACATGAGAGTATCCCTAGTTAGGTCCCTTCTCTCTTCCCTCGTACTTTAATTCTCCACGGTTTGTGCTAAGGGGAGTTACCTTCAGTGATGATATCCCTGGTGATCCCTCTCCCGATGTTGAACGGACAGCTAGTTATTTAGCAAGGGTGACTGAAAAAGTTAAGTCTAATTTGCTAACTCTTACTGAGCACCATAATTCAGACATGAAAAAGGGATCTACCTGAATTGAGTAGCTTCGTGATTCCCCATCATCCCCGTAATTTACATTACCCTGTTCCCTCACTATCGCGACGTCACACTATGGAGATGACACTGCACTACCCCGTAACGTTGACCTCAACGTTCCTTAGTACCCTAGTTTAGGGTATTTCTCTCTATGAGGGTCCCCCGCGTGTAAATCATCCTTTCAGAATCATCAACAACCCTCATTATCGCGACGTCACACTATGGAAAAGACACTGCACCCCCCCGTAGGTAGTACTCCTATATAGCAGGTGCTTATCGAGAACCAGCCGCCATCGGGGGCGGAGCGGGGCCCGGAGAGCGCCCGGGTTCATTGACCCAAAAATTAGTAGTATTATAGTACCAGCCACACATGGTGGTCGATCCCCGCCCCAACACCCTCACGCGACGACGAACTAAGCAAGGCGGCCGGATGACTGGGCTAAGCCCCCCCTCGACTCAGCGAACAGCCCGCACGCCGCCCAGGCTAGTATGCCGCATACACGTCACGCGAGAAAGGGCCTTTCCGTGGCATTGCCTGCGAGCCGGCTCTATGCATGTGGTACAATCTCACCTGCACATGGCCACTTGGCTGCTTACGGGACCGGCTGCGGATGTTCCTTGAGGAGTCGCTTTTGAAGCCACTCCTCCTTGATGGTATCCAAGTCACGAGCAAGCTCATCTATGTCACTGCGAAACTCAGCCACCTGCTGCTTGTACATGTCAAGCTCGGCCGTCATGGCCTTCATCTGCACATTCTTCTCTCTGAGACTGGTATGATACAGAGCAAGCTGCTCGGCGACCTCTGGACCGGGCTGGCGCCCGAGTATATTCTTCAGCTCGACGTAGAGTCGTTCTTTCTCTTGGATGCGGGCTTCCTTCTCGAAGACATCCTCAGTCTTTTGGATAATCCGTTTCTGAAGACCCTGAATCTTTTTGATCATTTCAAATCGCTGCGGGTCGGAGGATTCAAGCATGCGCCAACGATGGACATTAAGTGGACGTTCGAGCTCCTCATTCAGTGCCTTTATCTTGTTTCGCTCCTGAAGGAGATCAGATTCTAAAGCATGGAGGGTATAGCGGAGTTCATGAATTGAGGTCATTTGAAGTGCGGAGTCGTCGCGTTCCCGGCGCATTTCCTGGATACGTTCTACCAAGAACTGGACCTCGGCTGCACATTCAGCGAAACGAGTCTCACCTCGCTGCAACGAAGACCAATTTATCTTCATTTTCTCATAGACGGCGGCGAGCTCTTCATTGCGACGAATGAGCTGTGAACTGAGAATATTGCGCTCCCCGACAATAGCTTCGTGCTCCTTGTGCTGGCGCTGGCGCTCTTCATCAGCCTCTCGAATGATCTGAGACAGTTTTTGGATCTCCGCACGCTGATTAGAAATTATTTGTTCGCTCGAAACAATTTGCTTTCGGATCTTAGTCAGTTCATTTTTAAGGGATTCTCGCTCTTTGTCAACGTTGTGGTGATTGAAATGCTCTTTGACGAGACTGTGGTCCTTCACCGTTATCTCCTCTTTGAGTTGCTCAATTTGGTGATTCATTATTTTAAACCGGCGCTTCATTTCGGCGATCTCTTCTTGCGACTGAATAAGATTCTTTGAGTACAGGTTTCGATCACTTCGCACTGCCTCATAAAGATTTTGCTGTTGCTTTAGGCGTGCGCCGCCATCAATAATTTTGCGCTGCAAATCGGAAATCTGGACTTCTTGCAGCTTGAGCTGCTCCAGGGCTACGTAATATTTCCGAGATGCTGCATTGGCCTCCTGCTCGTGCCTCTCGCGATCTTGCACGAGTGACTCGATTTGTTCACGTTGGAGCTTGACCGTCGCTGTGTAGCCATTTACCTCATTCTGCAGATTTTTCTTTGCGTTCTGATTCACCTTGGTCAAATCAAAGATCAACTGAGCCGTTTTTTCCGAACTTCCAAGCTTGCGACTTAAAATTTCTCGCTCACGTCCCAGGTCTTCCAACTGTTTTTTGTATGCCTCGCCCTCTCGCCACGCTGCCCTAATCTCAAGGGTTGATAGCTGCGCAATGCGTGCCCGTAGGTCTTCACGTTCCTGCTCCCAGGTCTCGCGTTGTTGTTCCACCGCTGCAAGCTTCTTGAGCACCACATCTTTTGCTCTGTTCAGCTGGGATGACTCACTTTTGAGGACGTTTACGTTCTTCTCTCGTGCACTTACATCACGTCGTCGCACCTCATTCTCGTTTTCTGTCGTCTCATTTGAGTACATGAGTGATTCGAGCTGTTCCGTCAAGCGTTGTGTCTCCTGGAACAGTTTCTCGTAGTCTTTCAGGTATCGCTCCATCTCTTTTTTTGAATCTCGCAACTGAGCTTCTGTCTCCACGATTGATGCATCTTCGACTCGTGCGCGGTTCTCGCGCTCGGTTAGCACCGCCACCTGCTCTTCCATGTCCAGTTGCAGCTTCTGTAGTTTCTGCTCAAGCGCCATTTTGGCACGCTGCTCAAGTGCCGCTTCTTCACGCTTAGCTTCCGCCTGCATATTGAATTCTTTGATTCTCGCCGACTCTTGATCCACGTCCGATTCCCCCTGCTGGACTAATGCCTGGAGCTTCATAATGTCTGAGCGTAATCCCAAAGAAAGGGTGTTTTTAGACTCTAGGCTTCGATTCATATTTTCAATTTTCTC